CCTTTCAGGCCATAGATCACTAGAAAATGCCTTATCGGTACATGACCAGCCAGATCCCGTTGTTCGTGCACCATTATGATGACTGACATTGACGGCCGGGAATGGTGAGTCACGGTTGACGGTGGTCTTAGGTGGTTGGGGGTATTTTGTTAATTTTTAAATTTTTTTTATAACTAGGGTGTTTTAGCTAATTTCTCAAATGTAAAGGGGTTGGGTAATTATTATTTAATTGACATTTGAAAATAATTATGTCCGAAATTGTTTTTAATTAAAGGTAAAATGAGTAAAAAAATCAAATTATTCTGATAATGTTTTAATAACATCCCTAAATAAAGTAATAAATTACTTCCCATATTATCAAAAATAAATATTATTTACAATAAGATATAACTGTAATATTTTATTATTTACAAAATCAAACGTAAGAATCTTGAAGATTATTTCCGTTATCTCACCTCCTATCCAAATGACCCTATCTGTTGTGTCTTTATACTTATTTTGAAGTCATCAATTTTGACTAGTTTTCTAGGCGCATTGGACAAAGACAATGGATAGTGTACAGACGATCGAGGACCATTTATTAAAGCTATTAAAGGGCAGAACAATTTTTCCTCCTTGTTTGAAAGTCAAAAGACTCAAAACACACCCAAAATATTTACAGACATTAACCGAATTTGAAACTTTGTTGCGAAAAGACTTTAATATCTATTTTATTATACTTTTTTTCCCATTTTATTTTATTTTATTTTGATTTGAAGTGTATAATATATTATTAATTTAGCTTTTATATAATAAAATAATGATTAAAATAAAACTAAATTAATAATATAATTATATTATTTATTTTGAAATAAAATGGGTTATCAATTTTACTATTTATATGGTGAAAATAAAAATTAAAGAAACAAAAACCGAAAAGAATACTATAATTAGATAAAAGGTATTATAGTTAATAATTAGTTATCGTATAATGGAGTAATTTATTTCACTAGGGCATGTCAATTGTTTTGGTGTATTTGAACTTTTCAAAATCTTTGGTTGCGTTTATTACTTTACCCAAACTTCGAGGAGGAAAATGTTATAAACCGAGATAATTTATAATTTATTTGGAAGTGGTGTTGGGCTCTAGGTGCATTGGAGATGATTTATAATTTTATTAGTAAGCGGCGTTTGGCTCTAGGCGCATTTGAGAAATATGGTTACATTTCTTGCGAAAGGAGTCCTGCATCTTTATCGTCTTATTTGATTAAATAAATACTGTGTAAGTAATGGAAGATTTTCTAAAATACCTTTGAGATTGGTGGGTAAGGTCTGGGCCTAGGCGGTCCTGGCTTGGGCCCTTAAGGTCCGGTTCAAACTTGAGATTAGTTTTTGAAGGACCGGATTCTAATCCTTTAGGACCCGCCCCAGGTGTATGAGTTTTCTTAAGGTTTATGGTCTCAATATTTTTATTTATTTTTTTTTTTGTAAAATGACATTTTAACCTTAATTTATTATGTATTTCATATATCATAAGGGAGGTTTTCATTTGACCTCAAAATTACATATTTATTAATAACCACATTTATGGATTGCTTAGTTACAATGTAATTAATTACATAATTTAGATGTTTTTGTATATCATCGGTAAATTGAAATTCTTGATCTATTTAGCAATAGGGGAGTGTTAACTACAATTGTTAACTCTCCTCGTAATTGTCCGATGATTACCAATATTAGTGTGGATTTTAAACAAAATATCCATAATCCGTGAAAGAGATAATGAAATGAAGGTACTATCATGTTAAAATGTGACCATTTTGGTGGTTTCACCATAGAGTTGTTACTTTTTTATGAGGACCATCTAGGTTCCTAACCTGTATTCAGAAGATAACAATTATGTTTAACATCAATTTATTAAGAGTCGAGGGATAATCGATAATTATCATGATCATGAAAGTCGTTTACAAGTTTAGAAGCCCAAGCATCCCAAAGCTGAATTTTGGAGTCAATATATCCAACAACGAGGTTTTACTGCGAGAAATTTCAAAAACATTTGTACTTCTCCATTATTTGATTTTCGAAGATATAACTCTGGCCTCAATACAATTGCAAGAATTTAAGGGTATGTTTGTTTTATTATTTTGGATAAGATTTTTTATATTTTTAGAGTTGGGTGGGAATAACGAGGTAGAATTTTAAAATTAACAAAAACACCTCATAGGTTTGTTAAATAACTAAACACCTTGTAATAAAAACATTAAAATTATAAAAACATCCCACTCACCCATTAAATTCTGGCAGCAGACCACCATTGCCAGAGGGTGGTCGGAGTCGCTGTATCGACGCACAATCGGCTGGATCTGGCTAGTCGTGCGCCGAGATGGTGGATCTGACAAAAAAAAGCTAGATCTGGCCATGTTTGGTTGTCAACGATGGCCAAAGATATGACCGTCGTTGACGACCAATGGCTGTGGATCTGGCCGAAAAATAATAGATCGACGCACTACTGGTAATATCCAGTTGGTAGTGTGCCATTATACCATATTCCGACCACCTTCCAATGGTGGCCGTCGGAATCTGGCAAATGTGGGTGGGTGAGGGTATTTTTGTTAATTTTTAAATTTTTTTTTGGGAGTGTTTAATTAAATTAATAAACTTAAGGGGTTTAAAAGTAATTGAATAGAATATAATAATATTTCCTAAATAATGAAATAAATAATTATTTTGAGAATAGGATTATGAGTATGGTAGAAAATATTCTACCAAACGGACCCTAACTATTTAAGTAACAAACGCAAGTACTTGTCATTAAGCATCGCGCCAAATGCAAAGTACACATACTGCTTATGAATGAATTTGTTTGGTATTGAGACTATACCTTGGGCATGCGTCAATGTCGATATGGCTTACTGACAGTTTGTTGCGTCTTTCCTTATCATTTATACCATGATTTTGCTTTCCACTTGGTTTTTGGCGATTCTCCTGAAAGCCAACATCCTATCATGGTCTTCTTCTGAATCCAAACTCAAATTGATCTCAAACTGATCAATGAATGACAGTTTAATATGGATCATGATTTTTTATATTTAAACATAATATAGTTATCAAAGTCAAAGCTCAAAATCCAAACCACATATAAATATAAGCTAACAAATAAAAACTTCTTGTTGTGATATTTCGCACTAATGAGAAGTACGCGAGTTTTCAAGGGAGTTCGCGCAATGGTCTATTAGGGATTGAAAAATAAGATGCTGAACCGACGAGGAAGAATAACAATAGCTGTTTTTAAATAAATAGAAAGAGTAGACAAAAACTATTTTTGAAGTGATTCAAGGTGGAAATCTTACTTCTATTGTTATCTTATTGATGTGTTTACAAAAGATATTTGCTCTCAAGAGAAAATTTTGCGCTTTAACTATTGAGAAAATGAAAATCTGGATACTTGGTTTGGGGTGGGAGACCCCTATTTGGCTATTTATACTGTTGGATGTGTGGCCTTACTCATGAAACAACCCTTTTATCACATGAAACATGGTCTGACAAACCACCCTTATTAGAGACTTAATAGTGAAGTAGTCCTCTTACAAGGTGCCACGTGACTCGAATGTCACCTCAGTCCTAAACCTTAATGTTGAAGTAGCACTTAGCAGCCTTACAAGTGAAGTAACTCCTTCTATCTGTGACATGTGACTTGGGCAGATGCGTAGTCGCAAGACACGTGGCAAGAGTGCATGCTTAAGTTTGCTTAGTCACAAGACACACGTAATAATTATATTTCAAACTAGACAGTATAAAATCAATGTATATTACAAATTGTCAATACCTAATATAAGTTTATGGACAGATTTGAGGAGTTATACAAAATTGCTAATTCACACATTAACCTAAGATACATGAATGCTCTAGGTTAACATAATTTTCAATAAAAATATTTTTTGAATCTAATTTATATACAACAAAAAACAGGATAAGATCATATTGTAAAAACTATCAAGGATGGCAGGCAAGGAAATGTAAACAATAACAATTTTGATAACTCTCTTATAATAAAAATTAACGAATTAAATTAAGTTGTTTGATAATACTTTTGACATGAATCAAAACTAGAGATGGCAATATTTGGGTTGTGGGGCAATCCACCCCACCCCATTACTTAAATCCAACATTGGGGTGAGTGAGTTGGGTGAAATATGTTTTGAGTTGCAATAATGCTACAGACATTGATAATTTGCACCTAATTTTTGTACCAACATATGTGGCATCTAGTCAAACACGACTACGTTGGAAACAATACACATCTTCCGCGAATGAACAGACATCTATCAATTCCGGATGCTCGTCCATATTTGATGGATGACTATTCATCACGAATAGACGAGCATCCACGAAAATAATAATGAACTCACGTTCATATTATTTGGATGGGAGTCCATTTACTATGGACAAGTGGACAAGCATCCACCTTATATGATGCCCGTCATAAAATTTTAAAAATAAAATAATGGATGGGCGTACATCTCTTTTAGAAGGGGATACACATCTTTCTCCATACCTGGAAATTTAGAAGCTCTCCTTAACACTTGAATTGCATATCTCCATTCTTAAGGTGTCTTCTTGCAAGACATGGCTCTACCAATTGTAATGAGTGCAAGTGGTAAACCGCCACACTCTTTAGCCGCAAGTTTAGCCAACTCCAAAATATCCGGATGACTATCAAGAATTTCTCCCCCAAGCTTTCTCTCAAACAATTTCCAAGCTTCTTCTTCTCCAAAACATTCTACTTTAAACTTCCTATCAGCTTCCATGAGTCCACAAACATCAAGAAAACGAGTAGTTTTTGTGGGATTCCTTTGAGGAATTAATGTCCAACTCCTCCTCCTCCTACAATCATTACGCCGCCACCTGCAACCAGTCCTCCAATTCTAGCAAGGGGCAAGAAGAAAAGTCCCCAAATATGGAGTGTTGTTTTAATTGCAGCTGCTGCAGCCCTGGTTCCTTTCTTGGTCATTCTTGTTTTCTTGTGTTATTACAAAAGGATGCAAGGAAAAGAAAAAGCAAAAGCTGAACAAGAAGGTATGTTGTATCAATAGCATCAGACAATACTAAATTTTGATTCTATATTTGCAGTTTGATCATTTTTGTTTCTTTATCAAACAGTGGATAGGTTTGTGGAGTTATCAGGGAAGAAAATGGCGACTTTGTGGAGTTCAGAGGATCCTGAGAGAACCGTGGAATTGGAATTTTTGGACAGGACCATACCAGTTTTTTACTTGGATGATTTACTAAGGGCATCAGCAAAAGTTTTGGGCAAAGGGAAGCTAGGTAGTACATACAAAGCAACCCTGGAATTGGGTTCTGTGGTTGTTGTGAAGAGAGTCAAAAACATGAACGGTTTGAGCAAAAAAAGAATTTATCCAGCAGATGTCGTTGCTGGGAAAGATGAGACATGAAAACCTTATAAAGATTATCTCCTTTTACTACTCCAAGTATTTTATGGACGAGCATCCATGTGAGGTGGACGCCGATCCATGGTAAATAAACCCTGGTCCAAATAATATAGACGAGAGTCCATTGTTATTTTTATAAACACTCGTTCATTTATGATGAATGATCATTTATAAAATATGGATGGACATTCATAATTATTAGACTACCGTTTATTCATGTAAAACGTGTGTTGTCTCTAACGTGATTACGTCTGACTAAATGCCATATATGTTGGCACAAAAATTATCAATGCCTGTAGCATTATTGATTTATTGTTTGAGTTGTGCGCTTATTCACCCCAATCCATTTTTTTACTATGAATTATAATATATATATTAAAATATATAATTTTAGACATAATTATCACTGGTACTATCATAAATGATAAAAAAATGTAGTAATCTTAAATTATATAGCACCATTCATAAAGTTCTTAGAATTCTTACATTGACCTAAAAAACCGACAATTATATAAACATAATATATATTATAATTATAATATTATTCCTAATTGTTAAATAATATTATTGAAAAAACTAGAAATTTATTATATTGTGAGTATCACAATTTCTTTGTGCAGGATTTCAGTCATTTGATATTAAAATAAGGCATTAAAATTTAAATTTGTAACATGTAACATTTCAATAATGTAAAACTTGAAATTTCAACATAATAAGTTAAATATTATATTTGCAATATAGATAGTACAACTGCATAAATATTAAACATTATCCATGTTGATCAAATCTTTTATCTGCACCAAGTTTATTAAATTAAATCAATCAAGTCATAATTTTTTATATTTCGCCTTATTCATATTTTTATCCAGTTTATATTTTATTAATATTTTTTTAAAATTAAGTTTGGATAATGGATTGGGTTTTAGGTACCCCATACCCAGCCCAAATAGAATGGGTTAAGATTGCGGCAATCCAATCTCACCCCAATTCTAATTGGGTTGGGTATGGGGCACCCCAAATGGCTTGAAACCGGTTGGGTCAACTCATTTACCCACATTACCATCCCTAATCAAAAATTTTTTTTCAGAAACAGAAGCAACTCTAGATCTAGATGCCCGCTTCGTTGAAAATATGAACTTTCTGCAAAGGTTTGGTATTATAGGAACCATGTACAAAACTCTGCCTCAAGACAATTTTATCCCTTATTAATAAAAATTTTGGACAATATACCCTACTTTAAAACAGATTTACATTAATATCCTATTTCAATTTTACCCTGTAATTAAATTTGGACAATAATGCCCTTATATTTAAATAATTTACAGAACCACACTGCCACCAAGCCACCAGCACCATAGCACCCAGCCACCACCGCCGACACGCGGGGTCAACCACCACGGACCACCGTCGGAAAATTGCCGGAGTCCCTAAAAAAGAAGGAATTCTGTGGGAGGCTCGGGAGGCTTCGATATGGCCGTTTTGGCCATATTGATGGCCGAAAACGGCCATATCGGGCCATTATCGGCCAGATCTATTCTGGCCATTTTCGGCCAGATCTGGCATTATCGGCCAGATCTGGCCCGATATGGGTTTTCGGCCATCAATATGGCCAAAAACGGCCATGCGGAGCCTCTTGGTCACGGTGACGTACATCACGGGGACATCTGGCGGTGGTTCGCGGTGGTGGCAGGAGGTGGGGGTGATTTCGTCATAAATTAAAGTTTTATATAAGCGGGGGGTGTTTTAGCATAATCTGAATATTGGGGGTTTAAAAAATTATTCAAAAATTAATAATAAAAATAATTTTATATTAATATTTAAAATGGGGACAATTTAGTAATTTAAATAGCATACCACCAATTTATTCTCCATAACCAAAAATTAAAATGGGGACAATTTAGTAATTTAAATAGCATACCACCAATTATTTCTCCATAACCAAACATTTAATATACAATACCACCAACTAATCAAAAATATTTTCTAAAGATTTCCAGTAATCTTTCAAGGTAATCTATCTTTTCAGTAATTCAATATTCCTAATAATCTAACATTTCTGAATCAAACGTTCTCTCTCTCTTCTCTCTCTCTCTCTCTCTCTCTCTCTCTCTCCTCTCTCTCTCTCTCCTCTCTCTCTCCTCTCTCTCTCTCTCTCTACTGTGTTGTGTCTTTAACTTATTTTGAAGTCATCAATTGACTAGTTTTCTAGGCGCATTGGACAAAGACAATGGATAGTGTAAGACGATCGAGGACCATTTATTAAAGCTATTAAAGGGCAGAACAATTTTCCTCCTTGTTTGAAAGTCAAAAGACTCAAAACACACCCAAAATATTTACAGACATAACCGAATTTGAAACTTTGTTGCGAAAAGACTTTAATATCTATTTTATTATACTTTTTTTCCCATTATTTTATTTATTTTGATTTGAAGTGTATAATATATTATTAATTTAGCTTATATAATAAAATAATGATTAAAATAAACTAAATTATAATAAATTATATTATTATTTTGAAATAAAATGGGTTATCAATTTTACTATTTTATGGTGAAAATAAAAATTAAAGAAACAAAAACCAAAAGATACTATAATTAGATAAAAGGGATTATAGTTATAATTAGTTTAGTATTAATGAGTAATTATTTCATAGGGCATGTCAATTGTTTGGTTGATTTGAACTTTTCAAAATCTTTGGTTGCGTTTATTACTTTACCCAAACTTCGAGGAGGAAAATGTTATAAACCGAGATAATTTATAATTTATTGGAAGTGTGGGTTGGGCTCTAGGTGCATTGGAGATGATTTATAATTTATTAGTAAGCGGCGTTTGGCTCTAGGCGCATTTGAGAAATATGGTTTTCATTTACATCTGCATCTTTATCGTCTTATTTGATTAAATAAATACTGTTAAGTAATGGAAGATTTTCTAAAATACCTTTGAGATTGGTGGGAAGGTCTGGGCCTAGGCGGTCCTGGCTTGGGCCTTAAGGTCCGGTTCAACTTGAGATTAGTTTTTGAAGGACGGATTCTAATCCTTTGGACCGCCCCAGGTGTATGAGTTTTTAAGGTTTATGGTCTCAATATTTTTTTTTTTTTTTGTAAAATGACATTTTAACCCTAATTTATTATATTTCATATATCATAAGGGAGGTTTTCATTTGACCTCAAAATACATATTATTAATAACCACATTTATGATTGCTTAGTTACAATGTAATTAATTACATAATTTAGATGTTTTTGTATATCATGGTAAATTGAAATTCTTGATTATTTAGCAATAGGGGAGTGTTAACTACAATTGTAACTCTCCTCGTAATTGTCCATGATTACCAATATTAGTGTGGATTTTAAACAAAATATCCATAATCTGTGAAAGAGATAATGAAATGAAGGTACTATCATGTTAAAATGTGACCATTTTGGTGGTTTCACCATAGAGTTGTTACTTTTTATGAGACATCTAGGTTCCTAACCTGTATTCAGAAGATAACAATTATGTTTAACATCAATTTATTAAGAGTCGAGGGATAATCGATAAATCATGATCATGAAAGTCGTTTACAAGTTTAGAAGCCCAAGCATCCAAAGCTGAATTTTGGAGTAATATATCCAACAACGAGGTTTTACTGCGAGAAATTTAAAACATTTGTATCTCCATTTGATTTTCGAAGATATAACTTGGCCTCAATACAATTGCAAGAATTTAAGGGTTGTTTGTTTTATTATTTTGGATAAGATTTTTTATATTTTTAGAGTTGGGTGGGAATAACGAGTAGATTTAAAATTAACAAAAAACACCCATAGGTTGTTAAATAACTAAACACCTTGTTACTAATAAAAACATCCCACTCACCCATTAAATTCTGGCAGCAGACCACCATTGCCAGAGGGTGGTCGGAGTCGCTGTATCGACGCACAATCGGCTGGATCTGGCAGTCGTGCCGAGATGGTGGATCTGAAAAAAAAAGAGATCTGGCCATGTTTGGTTGTCAACGATGGCCAAAGATATGACGTGTTGACGACCAATGGCTGTGGATCTGGCCAAAAATAATAGATCGACGCACTACGGTAATATCCAGTTGGTAGTGTGCCATTATACCATATTCCGACCACCTTCCAATGGTGGCTCGGAATCTGGCAAATGTGGGTGGGTGGGGTATTTGTTAATTTTTAAATTTTTTTTGGGGGTGTTTAATTAAATTAATAAACTAAGGGGTTTAAAATAATTGAATAGAATTATAATATTTCCTAAATAATGAAAAAATAATTATTTTGAGAATAGGATTTGATATGGTAGAAAATATTCTACCAAACGACCCTAAACTATTTAAGTAACAAAAAGCAAGTACTTGTCATTAAGCATCGCGCCAAATGCAAAGTACACATACTGCTTATGAATGAATTTGTTTGGTATTGAGACTATACTTGGGCATGCGTCAATGTCGATATGTTACTGACAGTTTGTTGCGTCTCCTTATCATTTATACCATGATTTTGCTTTCCACTTGGTTTTTGGCGATTCTCCTGAAAGCCAACATCTACATGGTCTTCTTCTGAATCCAAACTCAAATTGATCTCAAACTATCAATGATGACAGTTAATATGGATCATGATTTTTATTATTTAAACATAATATAGTTATCAAAGTCAAAGCTCAAAATCCAAACCACATAAATATAAGCTAACAAATAAAAACTTCTTGTGTGATATTTCGCACATGAGAAGTACGCGAGTTTTCAAGGGAGTTCGCGCAAAGGTCTATTAGGGATTGAAAAATAAGATGCTGAACCGTCGAGGAAGAATAACAATAGCGTTTTAAATAAATAGAAAGAGTAGACAAAAACTATTTTTGAAGTGATTCAAGGTGGAAATCTTACTCTATTGTTATCTTATTGATGTGTTTACAAAAGATATTTGCTCTCAAGAGAAAATTTGCGCTTTAACTATTGAGAAAATGAAAATCTGGATCTTGGTTTGGGTGGGAGACCCCTATTTGGC